ACTGATTTACACGGGTTTAGTAACAGGCGCCAGTGCTGGCGCCGAGTACTAACTCGCACTGTTTACACGCAGTTAGTAGTCGTGATAACCTCTTCTACGCACCTTATTGAAGTCAGTGGAAAAAATTTTACGGAAACGGCAGAATTTACTAAGATTGAAACATTTATTGAAAAAATGTTCCTATCTGCTGTTGAAAGAGTTAGGAGAAGATATATTTAAAAAGAAATGACTTTTGATAAGAAAATGAATAGACGACAGAAAAGAAACTTGAGGTTCTGCTTTGACGTTGACGTGACGTCACCCTACAATGCAGCGCCAGCGACTGACCCAATATAGTATATTATTTATGGACTGACCAAGGACTGACATGGTCGTTTAGACAAGGTTAATACAACTGGCGCGGGTGGCGGGGGGAGTGGACTGACTTCAACATATTTAAGTAGGAATATTGAAGTCAAGACTGGCGCGAAAGTGCTGTCCTGACTCTAAATCAATTTATATTATGCCTGTAGCGGGTCAGCACTAACTTGCCTCGAATTTGGAGCCAGTTACTGCCCCTGTGTAAATCAGCCATTATTACAAATATAGTTTTTAGCAAATAATGAATAATACAATAATATATATAATATTTTCACAATAATAAAATAATTTTGTCGTTGTTTTTCTTCGCCGATCTGGGTTTTTTACGTCTTCTATAAAATGATAAAATCTTCATTAATAATAATAATAATAATAATAATAATAATTTTTTATTTATTTTCTCACCACAATACAGAATTATTGTACATAATATTATAGTATAGCCTCAATAATATACTGTGGGAGACTGGTGCCTAAGCTAGGCTTTACGCCTGTATTTCAGGACGCCAGGTCTCCGCCCTATGGTTCTAATTACAATACTTTTATTATGCACTCGTACATGTACCATATTTATAATTTACATAATATCTCCTTTCATTTACTTAGGATTCTACATATATTAACTAGTATTAGTGTGTGTGTGTGTGTGTGTGTGTGTGTGTGTGTGTGTGTGTGTGTGTGTGTGGGTGTGGATGTGCGTGTGTGTGTGTGTGTGTGTGTGTGTGTGTGTGTGTGTGTGTGTGTGTGTGTGTATGTGTGTGTGTGCATGCTTTTGTTTGTTAGTTTGTAACTGGGTTAGTAATTAACTTTTATTAGATTAGTAATTAGATAGAATTAGTAAGTAGTTGTTCAGTGTCATAATAATTTAGTTCTTGGAGCCAGATAGTTATTTTCTTTTTGCATATAGTTTTGTTAAGGTTAAATATAGGGATAATTTTATTGATTTTATTGTATAAGAAACCTCCAAGGTGACAAAAGAAACGTTTAGATAATTTGGTGGATAGAGTTATATGATAGCGGTCCACGGGGTTAAAACGCCTTTTATCTCGGGAGAGTGAGGGGTTGTATTTTAATAAAGCATGTTGTTTTAGTAAGGTACTTTGTATAAACAGTTGCCGCACAGTTAAAATTTTCAACTCTTTATATAGGAGCTCTGTAGGATAGCGATACGGCAGTGAAAAAGAGACCTTTAAGATGGCTCTCTGCGTTCTCTCCAATTGAAGCATTTTAGTTTTTGGAGCACCGCCCCAGGAGGTAATACCATATGTTAACAGAGATTGGGCCAAGGCGAAGTAGACGGATTTCTTTAGTTTCTCGTCAGCCACATCTCTCAGAGTTTTAAAAACATATATAAGTTTACGCAACCTGCTATTAAGGGTATTAATGTGTTCATGAAAACGTAGAGTGCTATCAATTATTACTCCTAGATATTTTACTTTTTCAGCTTGACATAGTTTGATGCAGGTATCCGCGTTATTGAGTGAGTTGGAACATGAGTGACTTACGATAGAGTATGGTGGTGATAATGTTGTTAATGTGTTATTTTTTAATCTAAATGCAACATAACATGTTTTATCTATGTTGAGTGTCAGCACATTACTTCGGAGCCAGTTAGAGATTGTGTTGTAGCCCAGCTGGGCGTACGTATAGACATCTCGCCATGAACCTGCGTTAAATAGGAGGACGGTATCATCTGCATAACTTATTATCCGACCTTTAGGAAGAGTGAGCATACTCATTTCATTAATATATATTAGAAATAAGGTTGGAGAGAGTACACTGCCCTGAGGCGTACCATAGGTAATTGTGCGTTCAGTACTGATGAATTTATCCACCTGAACGCACTGAGTACGTCCACTCAAGTAGTCTTCAAAAAGTTGCAGTTGTATACCTCTAATTCCCAAACTCTCCATCTTACGTAAAAGTATGGGTACAGAAACCGTGTCGAAAGCTTTGGCGAGATCTAGAAATATGCCAAGAACCTTCTGCCCATTGTCCAAGTTTGTAACAATATAATTAGTAAGGTCATGAATCGCATCCGAGGTAGATTTACCTGACCTAAAACCATATTGTGAGGGCGAAAGAAAGTTATGTTTTTCCAAGTAGTTTACGAGCCTGTTGTTTATTATGCGTTCGAGTATTTTGGACAAGGCAGGCAGCACAGCTATAGGTCTATAATTATTGACACGGTCTCTGTCCCCACCCTTATAAATCGGGTGTATGATCGATTTTTTAAAAGCTTTAGGAAATTTTCCGGTTGTGAGAGCCAGATTGCAGATATATGTCAGGGGTGGGACAACTACATTGATATGCCTTTTAAGGAGATTAGAGGGTATTCCATCCCAACCCACAGCACAGTCATTACGGAGAGATAATATTAATCTTGCAACCTCGTCCTCATCCGTTGGTAACAATACCATGGAGTGCGAGTTGTTGTTATTGTTGTTGTTAAAAGCTTTTTTTATTGACTCTGTAAGTCCATCCGATATCTTTTCCGCGAGATTTTTACCTATATTAGCGAAAAACTCATTAACTGAATTAACAGATAGCTCCGGAGTGGATGATGTGGTTAATAAGTGATAGGATGAATTTTCTTTCTTTTTTGCCCTATTTGTTATGTTATTTATTGCTCCCCAGAGTTTTTTAGGATTATTACTAGTCTTTTTTAATTCATTTTTTTCATATTCCAATTTAATTTTTTTTAACAACTTATTACAATAATTTCTGTACCTAGTAAAAGATGTTTTTAATACTTCATTGTCTGGCGACTTTTTTAATTTTTTGTGCATATTGTCTCTGTGTCGGATACAGCGTAAGAGACCTGGAGTGATCCATGGCTTAATGATTTTTTTACGGTTTGGTACTTTCACGGTTTTTGTGTTTTTTTGGATCGCTTGTTTGATAAGACTTATCATTAAATCTGCTGCTACGTGAGGATCTTCGGTATTATATACTTCACTAAAGTCGATTAATTTTATGTCGTCAGTCAACTGATCATAGTTAATGCGGGTCGTTGTTTTTTTAATCGTGATTTTGGGCATTTTGCTTGCGAGAAATAATAACACGGTTTCATGATCAGTTAGTGCTGAGTGGGCTACTAATGTTGAAGCAGGCAATAGAGTTTTAAGAACAAAATGATCAAGACATGCATTTTGTCTAGTGGGCAAAAAATGTGCAGGCAGCAGGCCGTGTGATGCTAATAAATTTAAATAATTAAGTTTGTTTGTGTCATGGCATTGTTCCTGGATGTTAATATTTATGTCCCCGGTTATTATTATATTGTTATACTGTGTGATATTAGTCAGGATTATGTCAAGCGAATGCAGGAAGTTAGTGATATCTCTATAACTTGGTGGTCGATATATTGCTAACAAAATGGTATTATAGTTTATTTTTATTTGGAGACAATTTGCATCTAAAAATGACGGTTCCTCTACAAAAACCTGTAGGTTTTCATGTATGTATACAACTACTCCCTCATTTTGTGTTAGATTGTTAGTAGTCTTAAAGTATTTATAACCTGTTAGGTCAGGAATATTATGTGTATTGGGAAGCCAACATTCTGTTAATGTGATGATGTCCCAATCGACCTTAGTCCTAGCGAGTATGGTATAGAAACCTATCATATTTTTTGAAATACTTCTAATATTTTGATTAAGTATTTTGAGTGATTGCTTGGGGTTGAAATTAAATGGGATACAGTTGTCTAAATCACAGGTAGATGAATCCGACACTGAGACAGAATCTATGTTGTTTGTGTTATTTAGTATATTATCGAATTTTATTGTGTTTGTTTTTCATAGTTACATTTTTGTAAGTGACATTTAATAGGACTAAGTTGATAATGACAATTAATTGGTCGCCAAAAGTGGTACAGAGAGGAAGCTGATAGTATATAGTATACATTCCCGTATTGCACACTGCATGTGTATTCTTAGTTAATAATATTAGTTGTATATAATGTATATATGTATTTGTTAGTGTAGTATTTGTGTGTTTTGTAGGATATCGTATGTATATTAAATAATGTTGGTTATTAATACAGTTTTTTAAATTAATGCTATAAACATGCAACAAGAATAATATAATACTTTTGAATAATATGGAAGATAAAATAATGCAATCTAGTCACTTTTGTCTTCGTAGTTGAATTAGATCATCTTCTGATTTGATAAGTCGACTGGGCATCCCTTCTTTTTTGCGTAATTAATCGAAGAACACAAGATCTTCCTAGCATTCTATGTCAGAGTATCGTAATAGTGATGGTTACACTTAATACACTACGTGGTGCTTATATTAATATAAATATAATATTAAATTGAGTTCGTTTAAGTTATAATTTTCTTTAATTCTTTTTCTTTAGACCTAGGCCACTGCTGAACATGACCCGCTTTCTTTTACTCAACATTTTCTATAATCGCTAAGCTTGCAGGTAAATTAGAGAATTTCGATAGACTGAAGTAAATGAATTACTTAATAAAAACTTTTTGGTGGATATCAATGCAAACGTCGTGATAAGAAAATTAAAACTGTCAAATTAGTTTGACAAAAAAGGAATATCAACACATTACCATATTACCACCTTAGATTCATTGTAACATTTTAAGATAAGTATTATATATTTAGAAAATACACAAACTATGGATCCAGCGTTCGGATTAGTAAAAAAACGTCAGCTGCCAAAATTAATGGCATGTATGACTCAAAATAGCATAGAAAATTTTAGAAATAAAGCTTTGTTTAGTTTAGATACAATTGATGCAAAAGGAATTCGAAGGTAAATGTTCCAGTATTGTTGATACACGCGTATACTTGAAAAAAAATGATTTTCTTTTTAAAAAATTTCCAATAATTTCAGGCGAAAACTTCCTTTGCACGAATGTTTAATTTTAGAGCTGAGAGAATCAGGTTTCTTTGAAACCTCGGATTATCTCCAAAATCTCATTTATGACAACATTCAAATTTTAGCGCAAGACGATATCGGTATTGTTATAGATATTAGAGAGAAAGAAAACTTTTTGGAACATATTTGCGCTGGTCTACAAAAGGCTGAAAGAGAACGAGATAAAGGCAATATTTTTAATTTCAAAATCACACTTATTTTTTATAGAATAGGGGTGACAAACGAGCACAATATCCACCTGATGGGTCACGGGTTACTCATAAATTTTATTTGCGGATGAGGATGTATTTCTCTTCACTTCGCGAGGTACTCACGAAGTGAAGTGAACTCCAAATCTTCATTTGAGGTGAAGAATTGGTCATCGGCGTATTCATCTCACAAGGCGATTCACCTCCTTCCGAATTTTTTTTCGAAAGCAAGACAAATTATTACTATAGTCCGTTACATTTATAATATGTCTGTGGTTCTTACAATAGGCGATATCAGTAGACGCAAAATTGGGTGATAAATAAGTGCGCATGATTTTATTTTCATACGCAAATATTGTTTAATTGTTTGTTAATGTTTAATTTGATTGTTTCATTTTCCATTATTCCAAAATTATTTTTGTATTTGTTAATCTTTTTTCTCAATATCGACACCTCACTTATTTAGATATTGCTGCAAGATACATAATCTCAATACATATTTGAACTAGTTTTAATCCAGTGGTTTGCTCACTCACTCGCGACACCATTTGTATTGTTTGTCATAAGTGAGGTTGTGTACGAGTGCGTGAGGTGGTTCAATGTTAACTTATATCACTATTACAATTATTACTATACATATTCTTGTGTGTGTTCTTGTTTATGCTGTCTTAGAGTTATATTTTTGTTTACAAAATAAATACAAATAGTGATAGTGTTTGTTTTGTAGATAACAAAAAGAAAGAATGCTTGGAGTTCCTCAAACTTGCCATGTATTACTCTGAAATGGGGAAAGGAATTCTGTGGTTAGCGGAAAAATTCTTTCTGGCATCGATCGCTGTTGGAAGTCATTACTTAGTCGACGGTGGACGACAGAAAGCATGTTGCAAATATCATTACGCATCGTTTTTGTTGGACAAATGTAAGCTTTAATATTTATTCTAGTTTGCAGAGGTCAATTTGCTTATTTAAATTTTGATATAATTATGAGCCGACTACAATTTTCATTTATCACATAAGTTTAAAATTTGAATGGAACCCCTGCTAAAGCATTATATTTTGATGATACAATCGGCTTAATAGGATTGTGAAGTGCTGGTAAACGGAGCGAGTGGGTATTTTCAAAAATGCTATCTGTTTCATACCGTTCACTCGGTATCCCCGTATCGTGCGATTAGAGTTGCAAGTCTTGGAGGCAATTGCCTACATTTCATTTTTAACCAAATTAAAAAGGAGGAGGTTCTCGATTCGAGTGTATGTTTTTTATGTTTGTTACGAGATATCTGATAATTTTTTAATTTTTAATTATTACAATTTTAAAATGAATTAACAATTAAATTAAACGCAGGAATTTTTAATTTATAAATCTAATTATTCAAACATATAAATGCTTATTATTTATATTATTTAATTTATTAATTACTAAAGGCAAAATATAGGCTTATTCGTTTGATAATATATGGAGCTGTTTAGATAATTAAAACGTATATCGTCAGCGGAGTTTCAAATTGCTATGCAAAGGTTAAAACTAATTTTAAACTTTATTTACCAATATGATATATATACATAAACATACATAAACACTCACGCCTGTCACCCAGAGGGGTAGGCAGAGACTACGGACTTCCATTTGGCGCGATCCTGACAGACCTCTCTCGCCTCTTTTACATCCATATATCTACGCATACACGCTCGTCGGTTAAGGGTACTCCTAATCTGGCCCATTTTTAATGTATCGCCGAATTGGTCGATAAACCTTCGTCTAGGGCGTCCCTTCCCGACCCTGCCGTTCACTTCTGCAACATAAATTTGCTTAGTCACTCTTTCCTCGTTCATTCTTTCTACATGACCAAACCACCGAAGCATTCCTTTCTTAATCCTTGTCACAACGTCATCTTGCAAACCACACTTTTCTCTTATCACACTATTTTTTACCCTGTCATTCAGATTCAGCCCTAACATACTCCTTAAGGAACGCATTTCTACAGCATTTATTCTACTCTCATGCTTCTTCTGCCAGACCCAACTTTCACTACCATACATTAAAGTAGGGACTAACACAGCATTATGAATTGCCATACGTGCCTTAGTTGACACATTTTGACTCCTCATAATAGCGTGTAGAGCCCCATTCACTCTATTTCCTGCGTTCACTCGTCGTTCTGTATCCTTATCATATCTACCATCCCTGCTAAATAAACATCCCAAATATACAAACTCATCCACTTGCTCAATCAACTCCCCTTCTATTCTTATTTCACATAAAATTTTACTTTCTTCTCTTTCAAAAACCATCACTTTCGTCTTACTTGCGTTCACTTTCATACCCCTTTCTTTCAATGACCAATTCATTAAAGTAACCATCATTTGCAACTCGGCCGCCGACGATGCAAATATGACTTGATCATCGGCGTACAAAAGGCATTTGACGGTTGACTCACCCATTCTCAACCCACATTCTTCAACTTTCAAAGTTTGCAAACAACTGTCCATAAATAGGTTAAACAGCCACGGGGAAGCCACACAGCCCTGTCTGACACCTTTATGAATGCCAAACCAGTCCGAGTAGACCCCGTTGATCCTGACACAAGCACTAGAGTTCCTATAAAGAGACCTTAATGCCTGTATCAAGCCAGCGCTCAACCCAAATGAGTTCAGTGTTTGCCATAACACATTCCTGTCCACTCTGTCATAAGCCTTTTCCAAGTCCATAAACGCACAAAAAACTTTCTGGTTTTTAGCCAAAAACTTCTCCGCTATCATGCGCATGGAAGAGACTTGATCCGTACACCCCATCCCCTTTCTAAATCCAGCTTGCACATCCCAAATTTTTCCATCAGTTTCTTCCATAACTCTTTCAATTAACACCTTAGCATACAGTTTACCCACAATGCTAAGCAAGCTGATACCACGGTAGTTTTTACAGTCCTGCTGCGACCCCTTTCCCTTATATATGGGGACTATAACGGCTTTGCACCAGTCTTCCGGTACCCGCTTCAGTTCCCAACATAAATTAAACAAGGTGTACAGCAGGCCTGCAACCACACCCTCACCAGCCCTTAGCATTTCGAGTGATACTCTATCATATCCGGCTGCCTTACCTGCTTTCATGCTTTTCATTGCTTTCATTATTTCATCTACACTTATCTCCCTACCTCTCTCCACTTGTTCCGGAATTTCTATTTCACTTATTTCAGACGACTCTTCACTCTTAAACACGCTTTCAAAGTATTCCTTCCATCTCTTTAAATTCGAAACTTCATCATTCAACATGTAGCCATTCTCGTCTCGTATAGCATTCATTCTAGGCTGTTTTGAATTTCCCCTGGCAGTTCTTACGAGCTTCCAGAACATTTTAATATTTTCCTGGAAGTTATCAGATATCCTTCTATCATTTTTATCTATCCTTTCTTGCTTTTTCCTTTCAACAACTTCTTTTACTCCCTTATTTATACGTCTAAAGTCTGCCTTTTTTTCTTTCAATCTCATCATTCATACCGCCAGAATTACCAGCTTTAGTTGCTAGTAAATCTAGCCATGCTCTCTTCTTTGCTTCAACTTCCATCCATACCTCATCATCCCACCACAACGTATAACTTTTCCTTTCATTCGTTCTCTTACTTACACCACATACTTCGGTGGCTGCATCCACCAAAACTTTCTTAATATTATTCCATACATTCTTCAATTCTAAATCTTTCATACATAATTCATTCAACCCACTTATATTTTCCCTCAGTCTGCATTTATATTTCTCTTTCACACCTTCATCTTGTAACCTCTCTATTCTTATACGCTGTAAAGCATTGGTAGACACAGATGTCCGATGCCGCCAACGTCTGAATAGACCATTAATTCGGCATAAGACCAAGTAATGATCCGTCGCTACGTTGGACCCCCGGTAAACCCTTGTATCTACCACTGCGCTCCTCATTCTTTCATCCACAATTATAAAATCTATCATGCTTCTATCATCCCCTCTTTCCCATGTATACATGTGAATCCTCTTATGGCGAAAGAAAGTGTTCGCCACAAAAAGATTCTTTTCCACACATACGGTGAGGAGGTCTTCACCATTCTCATTTATTCTTTCATCGCCAAACATTCCTAATATCCTTTCATAACCAGACCTCTTCACCCCAACCCTTCCATTAAAATCTCCTAACATAATAATATTTTCATTTTCCTTACATTTCATCAACACCAGCCTTACCATGTCCCAAAACTGCTCTCGGATATAAGTGGGCTTAGACATATCTGGGGCGTACACCCCTAGCACAAACAACTTCTTTAAGCCCACTTTCATTCGTATCCATAGCAGCCTTGGGCTAACACATTCATACTCTTTCACACATTGACCCATTCTTTCTGAAAGGATGACACCGACTCCCTGGCATGCCCTCTCGGTCTCGCCTACTCCAGACCAGTAAGCGGTATACATGCCATGTGCAGTGACATCTCTTCCCTTTCGTTTCGTCTCGTTCACACATAACACATCTATTCCTCTATCATTCATCATTTCGCATACTTCATCCATCTTATCATTCATTGCTCCACATACATTCAGCGTAGCCAGACGGGCCTCCGCAATCCACTTTTCGCCCCCCCCGGGAGACAGGACGTGACGGGTGGCGAACCTCGTCGCCGGTTTTTCTCCCGGAGATTCTTCGCACCCCTGCCCCATTAAAGGGGCGCCGGGAACTCGGGGCCATTTCTTTTTCTTCTTGGCTCATGGTGCGAACTAAGGGGTGGTATATTTTACGCCGCTACCATACGGCGAGGAGCCGAGTCTGTCGTTTCGGCTTTGTTGCTCGTTTAGCACCACCCGGGGGACACATGTAGGGTGGGCCTAGGATTAGGTGGTCGAAACCTACGGACGCGAGCGACTCATCCCCCAATATGATATATATTTGAAAAAAAAAAAACCTATTAGGTATCCCACCTATTAACTGTCATAATAATCATATATAGTATAAAATTAACATCTAAAGGAAGAAAAATACTTAACCTTCTTTTTCAAGTTCCGTAATCGGATAAAACGTAGCCTAAAAGTTGCTCCGAGTTACTGGCTACTCACATATAAAATTGAATGGAAATCGGTCCAATAGTTTTTGCGTGAATCGGTAATACACAGATAGACAGACAAAAATTCTAAAAACAACAAATTTTGCTTCAGTACCCTTTATTTAGTCCCTTCGACTTGTTTTATATATATTATTGTTGTTATATATATAATAAATCTGTAGAAAAGTCGTGTCTGTAATTCTAATAGAGTCCTGACTCTGGTATATATATATATATATATATATATATATATATATATATATATATATATATATATATATAAATAAATAATTTTCCGTGCGTTAGTTTCGAAAAACTCGAAAACGGCATGATCGATATTGATAAATTTTTTGTGTGAATTTGAATGGATGGTTTAGATTCCCAAATTTAACCAAATAGGTGGCGCTGTTGTCTAGACCCAGAAATCACTCGTGCGAAGACGGGGCGGATCGCTATTCTCTAATAAAGAGATATTTTATTTTTGGTTTTGCCACGCCTCGAACGCCAAGCGGAGATGTTTTATTTTATTGTCGACTGGTCAAGGTTACGCCACCAGCGAATTATTATTTTTTATACCACGCTAACACGTGAAGAAAAGCAAACTAAAGACTAAGAGGATACACTAATGAATAACCTTGATTATTATAGAAATAAGTCCAATAAAAAATTTTACTTTCCTCATCCGTTAGTCTGTGGTAAAAATATAGTATGTTACTGACATATCTCAAGAACGACTTGACGAAATGACTTAATTTTATTTAACTGTATTCAAAATCATGCATAGTTATTTCCTTTCGAATATTACTGCTGAACTCCTTCTCCTTTAAATGCATTTAAATAAAATCTTCAGTTTAACATTATAATTAAACCCTCATTGCATCGCAGGAAGTTTTAAGACAGGGTGCTGCATTGTAAGATGTTGTCAAGCTACTGGATTGGAAAGGATAATGTATAATCATCAATGGCAAATAAATCACTCACCTTAGATTTGCCGATATTGTTATTACAAGTATGTCAGAATGTCTAAAGCACCTTGTGCTCAACGGCCTCAGTAGTGTTTCCTAGCGGATAGATCTTAAGATAATCAAGAACAAGACAAAAAACATAACTAACGTCTATGTACCTATACACCGGTATTACGCTCGTAAAAAATCTTGAGCGTAGTCTTGTTGACGAGTTGGTACCTATTTGTAAACGGGACAAAATTATTAGTTAGGTCCAATTTCGACCAAGAGGACAACCGACGAATCCAACGCAGCTGCGTTACGTTCAGGAAACTGTAGCAGGGCAAACTGTTCTCTGTGGGATAAAATCCGTAACGATGATATCTCCAGAAAATCAAGAACGGATAAGCTGAAGTGGCAATGGTCGGTCGTATTTCAAAAATTAAGTAGATTATTTCAGTTCCAGATGCAGACCCTGAAGAATCATTTGAAATTTTTACGGAAGTCAGGGATAGTGCAATTGGTAAGGTACGATTTTTGAAAACAAATGTTATAAACACATGTTATATGTGTTTTAATGGAAATAAAATAATTAAGTTTGTAGAATGCAAGTATGATTCGGAACGAAGCTCAAAAAATAAGCAAGAATACCCATTTGAATATTAAGTATTTGAACTGTCCCTTTTTCAGAGACAAAGGTAAGACAATAGCATTGGCCTATAAGTAGCCCAAGGGACATCGAAAAGGTTAAAATATTTAAAATAAACTAACAATCTAAGTCACACATTCTAGAGGGGCTCTGATTCCTTAATTTTCCCATGTTATCGAAATTATTTTTTTAAGCCGTAAGAATCGTAAGAAGCGACAGAGGGAAACTGAAAGAGGAGATGAGAAGCAGCATCATCTGTTAACAGTTAGAAAAAAAAAGCTACGGTTGTCAATACGTCCGCCAAGCATGGCAACTATGGCAATAATCCCATTGTGGGGCAATCTATAGTGAGCCCTATATTCAGCAGTAGACTTTGGTAGGTTGATAATAACTACAATGCGGGGCATAAAATTCACTTAGATTCCTCTTTTGAGTTAACGTAATCGTCACGTTTTAGAGGCGAATGGGCAAACACAGACCCTTCTCTCGCATCATTATTTTTAATTTTTTTATAAAACAATGTTACCTCCACCTTAGATTTTTTTCCCTTTATTGTGGAGTCAGTTTTCATACATACATTGCAAAAGAACAAATACCCAGACCATACAAATACTTGATCCTGACCCTACAACGGTTTCAAGCCAATGCACCACGAGCCTTTAAACCCTACACTATTTCTCGCTACTAAAGACGACAAACGAGCACACAGTCCACTTACATCTATCCTCAATTAAGAATCAAAATGTGAATGCGCTGTCACCCTTAAGGACTAAAATAGATTGCCTTGTTGCCAGTAAAAAGGATCTTCGGTATTAAACTGTTGTTTCAATTTCATTATTTCAAATTTCTCATAAATTCTCAGACATTATTTTAAATATTTCAAATTTCTTTGGCATACAAGTTACTACACAACGTTTTTCTTCACTACTAATTACTTGAGAAAACAGAACTTATTATTGCAACTACTTATTACAGTACAGTTCCAAATAAATTTCGAGTTACTTGCATCCTTTGAAATGTAAGGCTAGTGCCCAGCCTATGAGTAGTATGCTATGAGTACACTATTTTCGGATATTGTGGTATCGTTTTACATCCAGACAAGGATTAATAAATATGAAAAACTTATTTTGTTATGAAAGTTACCGTTACAGCCTATTTAAAGTCCACTGTTGAACGTATGCCTCCACCATAGATTGCCTCAAAGGAGATATGAGATAATTGCCACAGTTACCACGTTTTGAAGTTTCACGTAGCTTCTTATTTAGTTATAATTAGGAAGAATCTGCTGCCCATCTCCTGGTTTGTATTTTGTACTTTTTGTACACAGCCATTACAAAGTTATGAAAGCCTGGTGATGAGTGGATGTTTGCGTTGCGTCGTCATCCATTCACATGAAGACGGAATACCTTATTCCAGTAAAACGAGTATCCGGTTTTGTCACTCACCATAAGAAACACATAGCATTAGGCTGATATTTTACTCTGCTGTTCTTTGCGAGAGCGTGATTCTTCATGATCAAGTTGACCCACTCGTGTTGGTTTACACAGCTGCAGCGTTGCTCTTCTTCGGCTCGTAGTACCCCTACCAAACGTCTAGCCATTGCGGTACCATGTTTATTTTTTATATTTTATCTCTTTTGTCATGACATTTTGAATATATCTTGCTTATTTTTCTTGAATAGGATTGGGTGCTTTTTGAGGATGAAAGTGAGATTAAAGATGATGTACCGAATTCGGTGTTTGCTGCAACTGTTTTACAACTACATAGGGTTTTACTACAAAAAGCACGAATGATACGAAATGAAGATCCAGCAAAGTCAGAAAGACTCTCACGTTTAGCTGAACGTAGAGCTAAAGACGGTGAGTCTGCGATAGTTGTATTGTAGTATATTTTTGTCTTTAAAAGTTAAATTCAAAGACTAATAATTTCAGCCACTGATACCCCAAAAATCGCTGAGGCAATAATTGAAATCGGAATCAGTCAATTAACAATGAATAATTTAAATAATGCTTTAAGAACATTTAAAAAGGCTTTTAAAATATATTCAGAAAGCAAAGATATTCACGGTATGTGTGAAACGAACATGCACCTTGCTGCCGTAATGCAGAAGTAAGTGTAAAATAATAAACATATTTTAATTAACTAGATGTTATACCCATCCTTTATCTAGACTAAGAGTGCGATTGTGTAACTCTAGTGGGAATTTGTGTTGATTTCTTTTTGACGTTTGATTTTATCTGTATATATAAAAATTACGTGTCACATTGTTTGTCCGCGATGAACTCCTAAACTACTGAACTGATTTCAATGAAGTTTTGCACACTGTGTGCAGTTTGGTCCAACTTGAGAGATAAGATAGTTTTTATCCCGATAAGTGACCCAAAATTTTTTTATTGCTAATTTCAGGAGTTTTTTTTTAGGAAAGCACATAGTCGTCGGAAAGGGCAGAACAAAGTCTGCCTGGTCAGCTAGTATTCGATAAAAAAAAATGTTTGATATTGATGTATTGTGTAAAAGTATCCATCGATCTATATTAAGTATCGAAAGTGTATCTAACTCTATCATGAAGCAGAGGGAGAAGAGACTTCCCCCTCTCCTACGCATGTGTGCTACACCCCTTGCTCCAATTCGCCGCAGCAAGAAATCACTTTCTTAAAACTTTAATAACTTTATATTAAATATTTTTTTTAGATAAAGGCCAAGTGCTTAAAACCTAAACTTAGAAAACCCAATTGAAATCAATCCAGTAATTTTTTTGCAAACCTCTATCATTTTATTTATATAAACAATAATAGCTCAAGTAGTGAGCGGATTTAGGGTGTCGATCGTCGATCGATGGCATCAGTCGATGGTAGAATGGATTAGTCGATGTCAATCGAGCTTCTTCATTATTCGAGAACTCTCCCCGCTCCACCGACCGCTTCTTAAAATGTCGTCTAGATGAAATCAGTTATTTCTGGCCTTAAAAACGGTCATATCCAGAGTCTTTAGACTAGTATCCATCGATCAGCTAAAGCTACCACACCAATAGATTGACATCGATAGACGTCGATCAATGGCATCGATCGACGATCGATCGATTGGTGTGGTAACACCCTTATGCAACTCTATTTTATTTTTCAAAATATTATTTTCCTTTTTTCCTCTAGTTTGAGGTAGTTAAAAACAATCTAGGTATTGTATAGCTAATATTAATTACAGTTTGATATTCAAGAAACGGAGCTAGGAGACCCATATCACAGGCTAACCTATTGTGGGCGCTTTTTTTTTATTTAAAATTGAAATGACAAATGAACTAACATTTCACCTGATGATAAGTGGCTACTGAAGTTAATGGACTCCCACAGTCAGCTTCAATAAAAATGTGTTCAGCTCTGAGAATTATAATACTGACCGGTAATTATACTGACTCTCTTTAACCTTTAGAACGGAGTAAAGCAGTGCAAGCACTGCTTACACTGCTTTACTCCGTTACTACTGCTGTACTGCTTTACTCCGTTACTACTGCTGTACTGCTTTACTCCGTTACTACTGCTGTACTGCTTTACTCCGTTACTACTGCTGTACTGCTTTACTCCGTTACTACTGCTGTACTGCTTTACTCCGTTACTACTGCTGTACTGCTTTACTCCGTTACTACTGCTGTACTGCTTTACTCCGTTACTACTGCTGTACTGCTTTACTCCGTTACTACTGCTGTACTGCTTTACTCCGTTACTACTGCTGTACTGCTTTACTCCGTTACTACTGCTGTACTGCTTTACTCCGTTACTACTGCTGTAATGCTTTACTCCGTTACTACTGCTGTACTGCTTCACTCCGTTACTACTGCTGTACTGCTTTACTCCGTTACTACTGCTGTACTGCTTTACTCCGTTACTACTGCTGTACTGCTTCACACCGTTACTACTGCTGTACTGCTTCACTCCGTTACTACTGCTGTACTGCTTCACTCCGTTACTACTGCTGTACTGCTTTACTCCGTTACTACTGCTGTACTGCTTTACTCCGTTACTACTGCTGTACTGCTTTACTCCGTTACTACTGCTGTACTGCTTCACTCCGTTACTACTGCTGTACTGCTTTACTCCGTTACTACTGCTGTACTGCTTCACTCCGTTACTACTGCTGTACTGCTTCACTCCGTTACTACTGCTGTACTGCTTCACTCCGTTACTACTGCTGTACTGCTTTACTCCGTTACTACTGCTGTACTGCTTTACTCCGTTACTACTGCTGTACTGCTTTACTCCGTTACTACTGCTGTACTGCTTTACTCCGTTACTACTGCTGTACTGCTTTACTCCGTTACTACTGCTGTACTGCTTCACTCCGTTACTACTGCTGTACTGCTTTACTCCGTTACTACTGCAACACGGCATAAAGCAGTGATTCCACTGTTTCAAACATTAACATCTAGGTATTAAAAAGTTCTAATGTAACTATAAACATGTACGTATCATCTTGTAAATTATGTACTGCGATAAAATAAACATTACTATTTATTTTATTGACGGGTTTTAAACAAATACTGAAATCAAACAGTCTAACAATAATCAAATAATTTGTTTGCACTTTTAAGTAGTAGAAAGATCTTAGTCGAAGGTAACAATATAATACATCTTCCAACTTAATGACATTTTTTCATGCAATGAAAATTTAAGATATGATCGTTATACATTACCATCCTTACAAGTCCATAGTCGAACAAAGGTCTTCTTCTCTGTGAATAGAATTGTTTCTTAAAAATGTTATTACCTACTACAGGTAATATAATAAATATTTTCTATTATTTTTTTAGTTTTAAGGTAAATTCTTTTCCTTGTGTTACGCCGCAACTACGCGGCTTTATTACTAAGATTTACTAAGGATTTAATTAAAAATTGACTGTTTCTTCATTTTGAAGCACTGTTCACTTGCTTTAACCTAGAAAAATATTGTTTGTTCAGTTTCTTTATCCAAACTATTAAAAATAATGTCCTTCACAGAATAGGCGATAACGAAGCAGCAGCAAAGTATTTGACCGAAATGGGAGCATTGGCTATGGAACATGGCTTACGTAAGCATCTTGGCCGTGCGTTGCACTTACTTGGGGAATTGCATTTGAGAAGAGAGAGACCAGATCTTGGAACGCAGCATCTGGCCGAAGCATTTACGTGTTTCATGGGTTATCTTGTTCAAGACGTAAGTTATCTTTTAATAAGTCAGATATCACAAGTCTATTGCTGAAGGGGTCCTCCCGCACAGACGCCTGCACAAGTCGATGGGTAGCTGAGGACAGCCTGGACAGACCTGTATCCATGGACACCTTCTGTGCTCAACAGGTTAGAAAATAATTTTAGTTATTAACGTAGGCAAATTGTAGTTTTTGTGTTAGAATATGAAATGTTACAAACTGGGCTAGTAGGTACACTCGCTTAAAACACTGAGAAAAATACGTGGAACACAACAGATAATTACTATGAAATTTACTTTAGCGGTTTAAAAAGGATTTTACAATCAACAATTTTAGTCAACTTTGAGTTTGCCATCTCACTCATTTAGTTAAAAAAAACGATAAACCATAGATTGAAGTCATCTATCAGCTATTAAGTGTCACCTAGTGTCACATATATTAATTTCCGGGTGACTTTTTTATCGTCTAGAAAATTTTATGGTGTTTTGTGTACTTAAGTGCAATAGAAGTTATCGTCAAAAGTATTGGTAAAATATAACTGATAGGCAAAATTCCGAATATCCATCAAAATACATAAAAACAATTCATCCTACGGTATTTGCGTAAAATTAAAAATAGGTTGTAAGCGATATTATGAATTTATTAGCAGTTTATTTTAATTGGTCTGCTGGAACCTGTTCTAATATCAATTTTTAACTAATGTGTTTCGATTTGAAATGATTTGATTTATCGATTTTGTATGTCGTTAAGTGACTCCTGTAGTCCATGGACACCTGCAGTCTCCGAGAACCAAGACGAAATGCCTCAACCTGATGTGGTAGTGAAGTGCGAAACCTACTAGTGTAGTGAAATCACTGCTATTTGGCGACATAAATAGGCAAGGATACCTATCCTACGGGTACTCAGGGTACTCAGTTCACAGTTCACAGAAAAGGAGTCCTGCCACCTAGAATGAAGAAGAATGGTGTGTTTTGAGATTTGCCCAAAACTTTGATATTAGCAATTCAAAATTCAGAAGGCCCAAATAAATGGTGTAAATTATGTAGGTATGTGATAAAAATAAGTTTGGACGTTGTGTCTATTCTTGTTCTCTATCTAAATTATTAATTTTCCGTTCTTAGTTCAGAAGTCACTAATATACACTATAATAATATTGTATTTAGATGATACATCACTGGTGTTTAAGGCTAACAAAAAATTTATAAGTTCAAGAAGTATAATATAATGTCGATTGTATTGCCTATTAAAATATGTTAAAGACTATCTTTTATTAAAAACAAAACTAAAATTAAAAATTACGCCCATATTGCGTTCTCTTGTTTAGTTTTACGTTAAACTTAAAAGAAATCAAAATTATATAACATAAGGAACATGCAAACGGGTTAGGTTCGACTCGGGGTTCGATTTCTGCGCTTTGGCTTTGGAGACTCCGGGCGTGTCGCTTGAGTTCACTCCCGTGACTCTACTCTCATTGCTCTTGCGCAATAATTATTTAAACCACGTATTCATTTGAATAGACCATATTACTTGGATCTCTGTGTTTGGTCACTGCCTTAGTGCTCTCAATGTGGTGCGCGAAGCACGCTGTCTCGGGAGACAGCAGCAGCGGTTTTGTGAAGTGTATCGCACGTTTATTGTGGTGTCAAGTGCGTTTTGTGCGTAACTCTCCTCCCTGGCTTCCTTGTAACCGTAAGTAGAGTGAAACACATCCGCCGCCTCAGAGGTGGCCATCGTTTTAATTTTTGTGTCGCTTTTTGCATTAGGCAACAACTAGGTACACACACTAGCGTACTAACGCGCTAGGTGTACAGGTGTTTCTGGTAGGTGTAGAAACTTGGAACACATCTGTGCTTAGCATAGTCTTACATGATGGCGCCGATTACGGTCGACGAACTCGCCTAATTTTATAGGTAGGCCCATAGGTGCTAAAAGCCGGCCAGGGCATCCGAATTTTCGTGTTCGAATCCGAATAGAATGCACCACCAGACTGACAAGAAACGATTTTTAGATCTGTGCCTTGTCATTCTGGATCTGTCTCAGGAAGGCAAGGAGATTTTTAACGTTCGGTACATCTGCAAACTAACGGGGATTGCAGTTGAAGCCCCCCGAAATATCATCGTCAAAAGGCATCGTTGGCCATTGCCACGAATGCCAACTTTACGGCCACTCTACCAGAAAGTGATATGTCTTACGTAGGTGCGTCAAGTGAATAGGTGACCACGGCACCACGGACTGCTCCCACATGCCCGAGACGATTGAACTTCGGAGCAGCGTCAATTGCCGCGAAGAGGGACACCCAGCTAACTATCGCGGATGATTCAAAGCGCTACGAAGGAAGCAGTACGGAGGTAAAAACCATACCGGGCGCGTGGTTCAAGTCAGCACGTCTCGCTCCCGACAGCCTGCCCCCAAACCCGCACCACTCTCGGTGCCCACTTCCATACCTCAAACTAACACCAAGCCCGCCCTGTCACCGGGGTTTCCGAGCAAGGTGCAAGCCTACCCGTGCCTCTCACATCGAAACCCAATGCTTGGGTAAAATCGCCAGCACTTGTCGCCTCACGGCCAGTGCCACCTCCCCAGACCAGGAAACCGAAGCCCGTCCCACAAAGCTCATCTTCCTTTGCCACTGACTTCTCTCTAGTCTGCGGCTTCCTCAGCATCATTAACGTTGCTGAGCTATCCTCTTTGGCTCGCAAACTCCGTGGACCACCACACCTCAAGACAAGCTCAACGCTACGATTGAGCACGTAGGACTCATCGACGCAATCTGGTCTTTCGCAAACTACACCTTGTTTAGAAACGATAGGTTGACCAGCCGTAGAGGTGGCACCATGATCTACTACAAAAGGTGTTTGCACTGTGTACTGATAGACGTTCCGCCCCTAATAAACATAGAGGTATCAATTTGTAGGATAGCTCCGTCTGGCCATCCGCTACTAAACATTGTTTCAGCGTACCTACCACCGCTTAAACAAGTATTAGATTCCGATATCTCAGCCTTAATAACTCTAAGCCTGTTAGAAGTAAGTAAGTTGTTGTAATAGCTGGAGACCTAAACAGTAAGCATTCCTCCCGGAACTCGCTTACTGATAACACAAATGGTGCAATTGATTGAATTGTGCGATTTCTCGGAGCGACTGAACTTCTACGTTATCGCGCCTGAGACCCTAACTTACTACCCATTCTCTACCAGACATCAACAGAACATCTTTGATGTAGCAATACTCAAAGACGTCACGCTGTCGAAATCATTAATCGAGACTGCTTTAGAGCTAGACTTGGACCATAGAACGGTCTTTTTGGAGCTGGGACAGCCCGCTGGTGAGGCCCTTCAGACCAAAACCATCATGGACTGACGTAAGCTTGAAGTCAAGTTCAAATCTACGACCTCCCAGCACCTAGATCAAATCCTGATGATATAGATTCGCCAGAGGTAGCCAATGAAACGATTAGCGCCCTATCAGCCCATCTCAACTCAGCGGTCGAAGATTGCTCTCGTAAGGTTTGTGTGTCGAGCAATCAGTACACGAAGTTTCCGAAAGACATTCCGCAGCTGGTTAGAGCAAAAATACGGTCCTAAAACGCAATGTCCTCCACCGCACTATAGATAGTAAATTTCGACTGCGCAACCTCCAAACGAGGTAAAACAACACATAATCGACTTTAGGCACGGCAAATGAGACAACTTGCTGGAGGAAATTGAACCTTTATACACCGCCTACTGGCGGTTGGCCCGAGCTCTGAAAACAGAACGAACCGAACACATGCCGCATGTCACTAGGCCAGGAAACCCCTTGATGACTCTCAAAAAGGCGCATACCTCGTGGGCAGCTTAGAGACCCAATGCGCTCACTCCAACGACCCCACAGATCCCGCTCACCTCCTAGAGGTCGAAGCGGAGGTCGAGCGTAAGTCTGCAATACCACCTACGGGCGACCCCTTAGATCCTGTGACTGTTTACGAAATCACAGAAGTCATCAAAAGTCTCAAAGAGGAATCTGCTCTCATAGGCTATTCACATCATCAGAACCTTACGTGCCACCGCCACTTTCGCTATAGAATATGGCACTCAATTCTCCAAACGCCTCCTAAAGGCTTTTCACGAATGACATCCTGAAGGACCCAGTAGTTAATACTGCTCTCTTCGCCAATGACACAGCACTTTTCGGCGCCAATCATAATAAAAGAATACTCACCCATTTGCTTCAAGCAACCGTCAACCGCTTAAGCGATTGGTTCCGCTTATGGAAAATCGAAGCGAATCCTGAGAAAAGTGTAGCAATATACTTTCAAAGGCATCCCGCTGTCTGCCGTCAATTAAATTCCAAAAATCGTTAAGCACGATCACCCTATACAGCAGCCAGATGCCCCTGGCAATCAACGGCCAAATACATAAGGGTCACATTTGACCACGGCATGAATTTTGCGAAATACATTCGCGATGTCCGCAACCGTGCCAAATTCATGGCTAGTTGACAACAAGAGAAACTGTCCTTAAGGCACAAACTCCATCTCTACAACACATGCGTAAGGCCTCTCATGTCATACGCTAGCGTATCTTTCGCCCACGCGTCTGAAACTAGTTTGAATAGCCTCCAAGTTGTCCAAAATAACTTCATTCGAAAAGCCACAGGAGCCCGTTGACACCAGTGAAACTCTAACCTTCACAGATATCGCTAACTTCCAACGATCTCAGAATATTTCATGGAAATGTCTCAGCCCTACTTCGAGAGCGCCGAAACACATCCCAATCCGTTAGTGGTAAACGCAGTCGTTACCTACGTTCCGACTACGAACGTCACGGCCTCCCTCCGGAGGCCTCGTAACGTTTTAATTGGAAATCCGATTCCGTCAGACTCCGACGACCCAAATGTCGCCAGGATATCTCGCACCAACACTACATACGCACCTAGTGTCACAAGCACAGTTAGGACAATGTATGGGACACAGCGAGTGCGTAAACGGGCGCGCCGTACAACCCTCCATACCACGTACACTCCTTAGA